TTGTCTTCTAAAAGACGAGATAACTCGTCAATGGCGGGGAAAGAGTTAAAGAATTATGAAAATGTCTGACGTGTTCAGTCTTATGGGTGTGATGCACTATAAATTGAGTCTGACGCACAGATTGTTTCTGATTTCTCTTCAGCATCGACACAGACACTGTGTTTGGGTCAAGTATAACGTTTACAGGAGGCATCTAAAAAGAAGGACATTTATCTAATTTATTTTTGTCTTTTCATTTTTTTCTCTTCAGTTTTTCCCCCTCAGAAAATGGCCAATTTAAGCATGAGTTATTTTTTCTCTTCATCATCTTCTTCTTCAGCTCGAAGCAGAGTTCGAGATAATGTTGAAGACACTGATAATTCTTTAAAAGAAAGGCTAGTATGCATTTTATTTTGCTTATTACTAATCTAATTTTGAATTAATCAATTGGAGATAAATATTTTTATATGAATTTACAGACCTAGTTAACATGTTATGTGCTCTAGATAATAATAAAGCAATGTACATTTAAGTACAAGCCAACTTTATGTAAATAGTACATTTAGTCCAATTATCAATGATACAAATTATTTAAAATAAAAAGCGATATGTCTGTATTAAAGGACATACGGTGACACAAAATGTAAATTTTTTGTTTACCCTTTATTTTAAGGTGTCTTACAGTGTAATTATACATTTAAGTACTGAGTAATAACTAGATGTACTTACTCTATGGTTAGAGTTAGGATTAGGGGTTGGCTTTGATTTACTTGCATGTAATTATGCATAATTTATTGTTATTATAATAGAACGTTAAAATAAAGTGTTACCAATTTTTTATTTTTTTTAGTCAGGGAATGAAGGGCGAGGTTCACCATCATTTAGAGGAGAGCATTCGTCCATACATTGACCTGATTGACACTCTGCGCTCCGTTGGCATTCAGAAGGACTTGGCGTTGCCGACTATCGTAGTGATCGGAGACCAGAGTTCTGGGAAAAGCTCTGTGCTGGAAGCACTGTCTGGAATTGCATTGCCAAGAGGAAGCGGTGAATTGGATATTTATATATGCATGTGTGTGTGTGTGTGATAGAGTGTTATGCAAAGAATATTTTTTCAACATCTATTTTTCTGCTGATTGTTGATAGGAATTGTCACTAGATGTCCACTAGAGCTGAGGCTGAGGAACGTAACAGGTGGAGTCAGCTGGAAAGCTGTTCTGTCTTACCGTAAAAAGAAAATTGAAAAAACTGCTGAAGCAGGTTAGTGAAAAAACTTGCAATCTCCCAAACTGCTTCTAAATTTTTACACCTATGACTAAATTTAAACCATGTTACAACCCCTTTTCAAGTTTATATATTAAGTTCAGCGAGCAAAAGGCCACGCTTGTCGTATGAGGAGAAGATAATTGAATTCGGGGATCCTTCATTAGTTGAAAAACATGTTGAAGAAGGTTAGTAAAACTCTTAAAATCTATTATCCTTTCAGTGTTATTGATACATAACATGCAAATTGACAATCAGTAAATACATTTCACAATATAATAACAGCTTTGTTTACCATGAAGAATCGTTGTTTTTATTGCATGCGCAATGATCTGTTATATTAGTAAATATATCTTCCAGCAGAATAATAAGTGTTGACAACTGAACTTAGTAACGGGCTTAATACAATAATGGTTTAATGACAGTTTATGTCCTTAGTATTTTCTTTTTATTGTAACCATTTCATAAAGTCATGTGCGGCATTTGACCGCATCTCATCCCTTAAGCTGCACACAGAAGCCTCACCCTTTGCTGGATAAACGGGATAACTGGAAAATCCAGTTCATTCTGACTGGTTACAAAACATGGGCCATGCCCAGACTCTTTTGTTGCTTTAAAAGCATAGAAAAAGCATTTAAAAAGCATAAAAGCTATTTTAGATATTTTAAAGGGGTCATATGAAGCGATTTCATGTTTTGCTTTCTCTTTGGAGTGTTACAAGCTGATTGTGCATAGATAAGATCCCTGAAGTTGCAAAGACTAAAGTCTCAAAACCAAAGAGATATTCTTTATCAAAGTTAAGACTCTGCCACGCCCCCCTAAAACGGCTCTTTCTAACACGCCCCCACATATCTACCTCACTATGTGGAAATATTTGCATAATGCGCCCAAATGTGCACGCAAAGAAAGACTGAGTGGTTTCAGTAACCGCAGTTAGTGTTGAAGCAGCATGTCAGGGAGACACTGTGTGTTTCTAGGTGAAAGCAAAAGCACTTTATTTGGCCTTCCAGAAAGTAGATGCATTTCGGAATCTTTAAGATCACTTACAACAGAACAGCAATGCATTTTATAGATGACCGTTTCGTGAACCTAGGAGAGGAAGTAATTCTGACTTTGCTATGACAATCCGGCGCTTCTGAATCAGCTACTGTTTTGTTACTAGTTTAAGTATTTGTTATGGACTGTTCAAATGCAGAGTTTTGCGCATCGTGTGTGTGTGTG